CTATGCTTCATTCACTCTGTGATATGGCCGGTATGTTACTCTACCTATTGAGAGTATAATCAAAACGTGGTCAAGTTAAGAGGGTGACAGAGATTATTTTATTTAAGAGCTTCTTGAGATCAGAATGAGACAGATATCAGAGGTTGATCAAGCAGTAATGAATACTGTAGAGAGAATGACAACCAATAGATTGTCAGATCAAGAGAGATGGAACAAGAAGAGATACGTAAGGAAAGAGAAACTGAAAGTTTGTGATGTTGTCCTCCTATTCGACAATTCCCTTGAGATTCGGTAGACTAAACGGTTGTAGCCCAGATGGCTCAGTCCCTACAAAATTACAGGTGAAGCAGAGGGCAAGGTCTATGAGATATCAGAGATGGATGACTCAAGAGTTCATGATATGGTATCGGGGTCAAGACTTTGTAAGTTTATCTTCAGAGACCCTGACTTGGTCCCTACAATGATCACAAAAAAATAAAAGAAGAGTCAGTCATCCAGTAAAAGAGCTGTTTCAGAAAACAACGAAAAATATAGTGAGATAAAGACTCATTGTGAAGACATAAAATTTCAGTAGACCTTGACTATTCTTGCATTGCCAGTTCAATATGTCAATTCTCAACTTGTATGACTTTCTCACAAAGGACTTGAACCAGATAATCTGCATGCGTTTCTACATCTGAACTGATTCTATTATTGTTTATAAGCGACGAAATTAATGAGATCAAAGTGTCATGAATGTTGAGCCGCAGTCGATCCACGAGCATTAGATCTTTGAGTGGGGAATAACTGTAAAGTGCACTTGCAGTGATATTAAGTTCAGAGAACTCGTGGTTGTGGTACTTCAAAAGAGAAACCAGTTTTGATTTCATGATGACGAGAAGGTCTGACAGGCATAAAGAAGTTCAGCTCTTCCTGACTAGAGAGTTGTCAGTAGAGGGGCTTCGTGTCTTCTAGCTGAGTTGCCTGTTTAAGAGAGCTATCAAGAAGATAGGCATAAAGAAGTTCATCCTCGTTTGACTAGAGAGTTGTCAATATTGGGACTTCGTATTTTCTTGACTAAGTTGTCTATCTTTTGTCCCAGATGAGAGAAGGGACTTCCCTGGGGTCAGTATCTTTGTACTTCCTTGAGGCTGACGGGAGGTCTCTTGGGATTATTCTTAGATGAGGGAAGGGACCTCTCTGGGATTAAGACTCTGTATTTCATGAGGTTGAAGGGAGGTCTCTAGGAGATATATTGCCAGTTGTTGTTATTGTTGTTCAGTGCCTCTTGAGACTGAAGGGACATCTCTTAAGAAATGTCTGTTCTGTTATCTGGGGCTTGAGATGTTTGTTTAGCTTTCTGTACCTGAGTTTTTCTTTTTTAACCTAAAGATGCATTGACTGTCGGGGCTAGTCAGAGCCTTACCACAGTAGGTTACAATCTTGTGGGGTCAGCAGGTCCCCGACGCGAGTGTCGAATTCCATAGTTGACTGAGGCTAAGACTCCGGGAGTCTGGCCTAAAACTCCGAGAGTCTGGCCTGTGAGGTCAAAGGGGTCAGCTGGAACCGTACCGCAGTCAGAGGTTGCAATCCAGTGACGTTCACCAAAGCCTGGAACCGTGGTTAGACCGGGTCCCACGTTCAAAATTCTAGGCGGGGCAGTCAGCGCCTTAGGTAAAAAACTGGTGGGTGAGTCGGTCCCCGACCGCAATGGTCAAATCCGGGTACGGGACAGTTTGATTGACGAGAGGTCTACTGTCATAGGGTGACCAGACCTGCAATAGTCTGGGTGTCCTGGTAAGAGTGTCAAAGGGTCACCATACTCAAGTAGTGGGTATGGTGGTCCTGACCTGGAGGCAGGTTAAAGGGGTCATCAAGACAAATGGTCTGATTGGTCCTTGCCTAAGGCGGACTGAATAAGGTATGTCAGACTGACGGGAGGTCTGTCACTTCTGGTTAGTGGTGGGCCAAAACCAAGGCAATCAATAACTTTTTTGCTTCAGAAGTTGAAAAGGGTTTGGTATACCCTATCCCCAGCATGGCAGACAAAATGAGTGCCCTCAAGTGTCAATATCATTTAGAGAAGTATCCTAGGCATCGCTGCCAAAACAAGAAACAAGGTAGCTTCTCTTTTGAAAAGGGTCAGCAGCAAGTTAAATTAGTAACGGATGAGAAATCCTTCTGAAATTTATTTGGTGGCCGACAAGCGGCCTGGTTTACGAGGAACCTGCATCCTCGGCCTCGGGGTATTCAAACTCTTAAGCCAGAGACGTTGTGGAATGGACTGGAAAGTCAAAAAAAGAGAAGACTCAGAAGTTCAAAGAAAGGACCTCGTGCTTATGCAAGAGGTAAACGGTGATGATGAACTATATCTAGAGCAGAGAGCGAGAAGGAAGAAAGTGCAGCTATTGAGCTGGGGAAGAGAAGGAGCCATGCATGGTGCAGGTGGAGGCGCTGCAGGCACTAAGGCTCTGCTTGTCACGGGAGTAGTGTGGGCTCTGAGAGAGTAAGGCGGAGAAGAGGTGCCAGATGCGTCATAGCGTGTCTCAAATTTCTTTTGAAAGTACTCCATCCTCGTAGGGGATGGAGTTCTCTCATACCAGCCTACGAAGGGCTAACACTGATATGGCCTCACATGAGAGTCATATCCTTGCACTTCCTCCTCCTCCTCCTCTGAGCTGAACTCGCGTCGTGAGCGAGCTGGCGGCTCTTCTCGTGTCTTCCCTCCTCTACCACCTCTCCCTTTTCCCTGTCCACAACATGCCTCAGGCATGGTGCAAGAAAGGCCAAAAAGGAAAGGGCGCGCAACTGTGAAGACCGAGACGAAGAGAATACTATGAGAATAAAGAGAACATGCTACTAAGGACAAAGAGGGAAGATGTGCTGCGACAAAATTGAAATTAAGAGAAAGTCTAAGGCCAAAAAGATCAAAATGTTAGAGAAGGAAGAAGAAAATGGCTACGCAGATCACGCGAACGTTTGTTCGCTGCAAGAGGGAAGACGTGCGTGCTTTGGGGGCGTGAAAAGCAACTTAACGCAAAACTACAGTGAGACCTTGATTGCAAAAGTTACAATAGAAATGATTGAGTGCACCGCCGAATTTCACTGTTCTTATACTAAGCTGCCTACGTCGTTTTGGCCCAGCGAGGACGTTGGGCGGGGGGTTGGTATCATGTCGGAGGGCACGGTATCCCGGCCCTCCGCTGTGTACTGAGTGCCTGTTCACGCACCTCAAATGTGTACCAGATATCAATCACTGGGTCATGCAGGGGGCAAAGCTTTGCCGCAGGGCCTTCTAGTTGAATCACGCAGATTCGGTGTCCTGCTATACAGTAGACTGACCTGTGGTTGAAGTGACATTCGGGTCCTCCAAAGAACGCGATGGTAAAAGGTTAGTGTTGACGAAGTCACTCATTGGACCCCGATGGTCGTGATTTGGGCTAGGTGCAGAGGGAAAGATAAATGAAATAAAAAGGAAAGGAGAAAATGTATGAGAAAAGTTTGGCATCTCACGCACGGGTCCGAGTTCAGACCGCTACACCAGGTGTCAAATCGGATCGTCGTTTCGTCTGGAGCGAGCTAGAGGTCTCGAGCTGCTTCTCCTTTTACTTTAATTATTACTAGCTAAGCGCCCACGGTGCGGGCGGTGCGGGCAATGCCCGCAAAAATAAGAAATGTTGTAGGGAACCTAACACAAACCACTCACATAAACTGAAACAGACTTGAAAAAAAAAAATTAAATCACAGGGTAATAAAGAATAGTCCAAAACTGGCTGTGAAGTCTGAGTTTAACTGACGAAAAAAAAAAGTGACAAATTAAAAATTCAATTTAAATCATAAAAAAAGAAGTAGGAGGAAGGCCGAGGAGAGACGGAGACAGACAAAGAGAGATAGAAAGGAAAGAAAAGATAGAGAGAGACATAGAGAGAGAAAGAGAGAGAGAGAGAGAGAGAGCAACAAAAGAGCAAAGAATAAAGAAACACGAACACCAGTATACAAAGAGAAAAAGTTTAATATGAGGATTTATCGTTCCATTAAAGTTAGCAAGTGCCCGCAATATGATCAAGGCACAATTATTGCGTAACGGAATCCACCTTGACATAAAAAAACGCAATAATATCAAATCAAAATTATTTTTCTCTCTCTCTCTCTCTCTCTCTCTCTCTCTCTCTCTCTCTCTCTCTCTCTCTCTCTCTCTCTCTCTCTCTCTCTCTCTCCCCATTTATTTCTATCTCTCTTCCTATCTCTTTTGTAAGGGCAATTACTTAATCAAAGTCGAAACTCACCATAAAAAAATCTACCATTAACGCAACGCCTGAACGAATACCCAATCAACATCTCTCACTTCCTATTTCTCTTATAAGACCAATCAACTTCCTTCACTGGAACGATACTCTTGCAGCACCTCACGAATAGAAACTTGTTGCAACATTTTCCGACGATACTCCTCAAAAGTTCTGAATCGACCCTGTCTTTGTCGATTGTAATCGAGACGAATTGCAGCATCCACACATCTCCAAATGTTCATGCTTGTATTTTATTGCATTGTTGCTTCCACAATATCTTGCACCTTGTGAGAACTGTCAAGATAGGACAGATGTGCAAGTGTCTTTTTGAGACCAATAGACTCAAGAGAGTCATAGACGACAATGTTAAAATTAGAAGAACTTGGTTGTTCCAAGGGTCCTGTATGGACATGAAGATGGTATGTTGATGGCGTAATAGCGGGCACAACACAACTGACAGGAGACGGAGTAGCTGTAGCGGCCAGCAAAGTAGAAACAACAACAGAAGTAGTGACAATCGGCGTTGACATATTGGATGGTGAAGCATAATCCGCAAGACGTTGAAAATTTGGAGAAGATGTTGCTTGAAGGGAAAGTCAACGGATCGGAACGCAATGAGGTGTAGAAGAAGCAACCACGGGAGGAATCCTTTTGAGAAGCTGTTGTATCCGTGCATATCTATGCAAGGATTGGAGGATGGGCCCTTATGTCGGACAATGTGGCAAATCAAATGTCATCCTACTAATCTCTTCATTAGAGAGAGCAATATACTCATCGGTCAAAAGTTAATTCAACATGGAAGAAGCCTCCAAATCCGATACATTCAACGGGTTTGAAGGAAGAGCCTCAAGGGATTTTCGTTGCAACCGCATATTAGTGAGTTTGTTTCTTTTCCACTCGAGGAAGTTTTTCCATATTCGTCCATCTTTTACGACTGTGGCACTTTTGACAAACATTTCAAAAAGCAGCTCAGTCAAGACATTTTGTATGCCAACCTTCTTCGCATCCTCGAACCATTTCCCAAGGTAAGCACGCGGATTCGGAGCATGGATTGCGGGTCCATGCTTATCGTCAGACACCACAATAACACCCGCACGATTTTGCTGTTGCGATGTGGAACAAACATCTCTTTCACGTCCACTGCGTTGAGATTGCGAACACGAATCACGAACACGTGCACGTTCAGCGAGCGGTGCACAAAATTCAAGAGATGCAAGTGCCTCGTCAGGGAGCTGATTTATCGCTTTTAAAATCTGAGTTCCCGTTTCATGAGCAACCGGTTGCCGTTCCACCCGATTATTATTGAGCGTAGGCTCGGAAACTCGGGGTGAATCCAAAACATTAGTTTTCGCACGACGGCTCCTTTTTCTCACCAATGTGGATTCAACCAAGTCTCCTTTCGAATCATCGGTAACGTTATCATCCTCGAGATCGCGAAATGTAAGGTTAATAGGCCTACCCGACTGACCTCTACGCGAACCATCCCCATCAACACGACAATTGTCAGCATCCCCCTCCACAGTCATTTTCTCAGCATCATCAAGGGTATTCTGTTGAGAACGTTCACGTTCAACCTCACGCAAAATAGGATGATCATCTCGAGCATGTTCACTTCCAACATTCACCGACATCTCATCATTCCCACATTTCTTCGACTTCTCCGAATGTTCGGCTCCAGCTTTCGACGTAATATTCGTATCATACTGAGTGGTATTGCTGGTTGTCATTGCTTTCCTCTTAGCACGAGTGTCGTACTTATGCGGCATTTAGGAGTCGCCTGCAAAGAAAGAATATGATCGAATTATTTGGAATGTCGAGGGTCGATGAAAAAGAAAAAGAAGGACTCATCCCAAAATTTCATGATATACAATATTCTTCTTTAAAAAATTCTTATCAGGCAACGCAACACGGATGTTGTTGGGATGACCAACACACGATAAAGCAACATACAGTTGGCCATGTGAAAAAACCGGTTTGCGTAGTCAAACCCCAGCATGTGATACCATTTGTCCTTGCGACTTGTTAATCGTTACAGCAAAAGCAAGACGGACTAAAAATTGTCTCCTAAACCATTTGAACCCAGTAGTCTCACCATCGCTTGTCAGATCAATCTTGAGGATTAGTGTTATTTTACACTAATCGCATTATTTTCACTTCCAACAAATCATCATTAACGATCTTTTTCAGAATCAGCCTTGTGTCATTGCAAAGTCCTTGCTTTGGTGATAAATTTCGCAAAAGCATCAGAGGTGCACCAATTTTTAAGCGCAGCTTGTGAGGTGGAAGGTCAGATTCATCGAGGGAGTTTAAAAACTCCCGCTCAATACTAAGCCCGGTATCATCTAAATCAGGATAATCAACACTGAAAAGTCCACGCACCTCCCCAGGGAAGTCGTCAAGAACACGGTTGTTAACAGAACCGGCATCGTCATTAGTAGGAAATAGAATTAATCGAGGCAAGAAATACTCGGCATCACCCACATGGTTGGACACATCATCAAACGTCCATGAAATCAATTCATCAATTAGTTTATCCGTACAAATCTCACGTGGCAATCTTACCCCATCAGGTTCATTAGGAACAACGTGAGGATGGTCACCATTCCCAATACACATCAAAAAGTGGTCATACCTTCGTGCCATTTCGTCATCCGCTAAGCTTAAGATTCGCATATTTTCAGTCAGTTGATGAATCTCAAAAAGTTTCCACAAAGGAGACATTTTCATGGACGCATCAATCTGTTGCGCTCGCAATCCATGTTTCACAACGGGTAAAACCTGTCTAAAATCCACAGCGAGAAGTAGAACTTTCTCACCAAACGACTCGTCATTGTTACACAGGTCCCGAAGCGTAATGTCAAGAGCTTCCAAGTGAAACTTGTTACTCATCGGAGCCTCGTCCCAAACAATCAAGTCGGCACGGCGGATAAGTTCCGCAAGATCAATTTGTTTCGCAATCAAGAAGGGACACGTGTTATCAGGTTTCAAAGGTGCGCGAAATCGGGAGTGAAACGTTCGACCCCCCGTTAAAAGAGTCGCCGCTATGCCACTAGACTTGACGGCCAGTGCAATCGCAAAACGGGACCTGATGCCCGCCAAAATAGTTTCAATGCAAAAAGTCTTTCTTGTTCCAGCCGGTGCATCGACAAAAGCACGCAACGGTTTTTTCTCTTGCACAGGCCGAACGACTCTTTCCACCAACACTCGTTGACGTGGATGAAGACGTCGAAAATTGGAATCATATTTGCGTTGCATTTGAATCGGATCATACGATAACTCGTCGTTTAGAATCGAGGATACGTTTCTATTCTTGTAATGTCTTATTATGTTCTCAACAATTGTTTCCGCGTCGGGTGTTGGATAATAAAGGCAGAATTGACGGATGTTTTTTCCAGACGTCTGTAAAATACGGTCAAGATGGAATAACACTAAGGATTGCAAAATGTTCGGCGGAACAATTTCGTTGCCCCCACGATATTGAAAATCATCACACATCTTATCCCAATGTCGTTCAAAGAAACGTACCGGATCGTTCACAGGACCAAACGTGAGAACCATAACAAATATTTTACGAATTTTTCAGGCATGTAATGTGTCGTGGCTGTGTCGATGCATTGATCGTATGCATCGTCTGTTTGCAAAAGGCCTAATCGAACACACACGGATCTGAAAGAATCGTATTCGACTCCGTCCACCGTACGAATTTCGGCAAAAGAGCGCACCCCACGAGAATGTTCATGGTTTAACAACACGTGCAGATAGAATCGTTCCCCTTCGGTGATCCTCACGTGATGCAACCGGGATATCTTTTCGAAGGGACCACCGTGGAGATCACGTTTTCTTCGGTTCCACTTCTTATGTTTGTTATCCCATACATGAGTATTAATGATTTCTGCGTAAAGAGGAAACTCCTCTTTAAGAACACCTTCATTCAAAGAGTTGTGTTCCATCCATGGCGTCAATTTCGTTTTCGGGGGTTCATGTGAAACAACCTCATGCTCAGTGCCAAGTTCGAATTGCACTTTTTGCATGTTTTCGAGATGCACGGGCAATCTTTCCACCGCGGGCCATTGTTCCGCAACGTCAAACTCAAATAGATGCCAGCATGCTTCGCATGCACCTACAACACGCATATCTTGATACAATTTAACTACGTCGATGGGCGCATTATTATCCTGCTCGCAAACCATACCACGATCGCACCCTTTGTACACGTACTTACACACGTACTTGAACGCCTTGATGTTAGCATAATATTCAACATTCAAGTGGCAATTAAACCTCATTAGCAAGTACGGGTTATACGGGACCACACGCCGATTATCGTAAACGACACCATTTTGAACAATCGTAAAACCACCGTCACTTGGTTTCCTTCTCTTATACGAAGGGTACGTTTGCTCGTCTTTGAATGTAATTGTAGAAATGAAGTCTTTCGGAAACCTTTTTGTGCATTCTCCGTCCTCCGTACACGAAGCGTCGCGTTTCTCCACACCACAAATCCCGTGCAACATGAATTTGGTCACCCTTTCTCTTAATTCCCCTACCGGAGGAATATCGACACACACCACATTGTCAACAGCATCCGCATCCCGAATTTTATCATCCGGATGCAAGATAACCAATATATGTGCGTGTGGTAGATCCCTTTTTTGAAACTCCACCACATACAACATTCCGCTCACCCTACCAAAGATCCGTTTGTTCTTTATCTCACCAATCGGTTGTGCAAGACAACCCTTGAACACTCGTGCGAGAAGATCCGGCCTGTCGTTAGGACATTGCCCTGGCAACAGGGCTTGTTTTATCTCCGACCAATTTGTGTTGCACGTCATAGTGATGAAAAGATCCGGTTTTCCGAATCGTCTCACAATTGGCATGCTGTCGTGATATCTTTCACTCATATATCGAGGCCCCCAGTGAACGTTGACTGCAAAACCACTTTTGTCCCAATATCGTCACCACGTTGATTTTGTTGCACAGCATCGTGTAAATCCTAATAATACTCTGAGCGCAATTCTTTTTTGTGGAATCTCACCCATTTTAAGCGGAGGGATTCAACTTTAGCATACGACATGCAACAAAACTCATGGAAGAGACGTGCTGCATAAAGGAGACAAGGCCTTTCACCATCGCGCTCGTGAAGGTGAAATGCATAGTACTCATTGGCACTAAGTCATGACAGCCATCCAGCCTCCGAGGCACGTCGGACAGACCAACTATCAATTCCCTCCGGGAAAAGTAAAACAAACCTTAAGCAATCGTGCGCTCGAGAACATTCAGGAACCACAACTGTCTGCCGCTCACCAGGAAGAGGAGCACGTAAACGAATCTCTAGCTCACGAGGAAGGAGCCCATCGGTCATCAGAACACACACCTCATGTAGACCCATAGGACGGTTATAATGCCTTGCATGTTCCTCCTCAGGCATGGCATCCGGATTTATGACCAACTTCCTCCCATTCAAGGCTTCCTGAGGAAGGTCAGCAGCCGTCATAAAGTCCTTCACGTAATTGTTACATTGTTGTAGCAATTTGTGAAACCTTCTCAATATTCGTTTCGCTCGATCAAGTTCGGCATCGGGTGTACGTGCAGGTAAGTTAAGGAAATTCACTCTTTGATCAATCGCATCGTCCAAACGTTGAGGATCGTGCAAGTACAGTTGCGCAAACTGAGGACGTTCTCCTTCCTCGACAGCCAATGCACCGATACGATGAAAAATTGAACCTTGAGCCCGAAGTTGACCCTGAAATACTTGAATACCATCGCTCGACTGCTTCAACCGTGAGGATGCGAGGGATAAACTATTATTAATTATCCTCGCATTGTTTCGAAGGAATCGGCCATCGGAACTTTGAGATGTCCAAAGGGAAAGAATTTCATGCTCCGGCGAGCCTTCGGAAGGCCATTACCATAAAGGACAAAATTTTTTACCTTTTCGGCAATACATCTTTGTCCATTTTGTTTCATGATGTCACAGTTCAGCACCACAATGCTTACACGGATCTCGACTGCCAATGCCGAACGGTTCAACAGTGCTACCATTCCCAAAAATCGCTACAGTGTTCTCAAACGCCGCATACGTTGTTCCCACACGTGTCGATGGCAGTGCATTAAGATCAGGAGCCTGAACATCATGCAAATCATTCATTTCTTCATCGCGACTATTTGGTTCACTGTCTTCATGATTGTTCATTGAATTTCGATTTCTCACGGACGGATTTTGCGATTGCCTTGCTCGTGAAGATGCACTCCACGAGTGTCTCGCCCGAGAAGATTGACTTCACGATTGTCTCGCAGGAGAAGATGCACTCCTCGACTGCGCAGAGGCGCTGGCTCGAATCTCTCGAAGGATATTCACAGCGAACAAACTTCGCCTCACACCCCGTACAAAATTTTTATGAGCACGCACATCTTTTTTCCTCCTATCACTCTTAACCGCAGCTCTCAATGCACGCATACGTTTAGCATGAACGTTTGGTCGTCTTCCCTGCCTTTTCGTTCGTTTTGAAATTATACGTGACGTAGAACATGGTTCATTCACATTCATTCTATCGACTTGTTTCATTCATTCACCAGCCTGTACAGTACTTTTAACAACTATTGCACTTGCATCATAGCCCGATGACACATGGTGAGGCATCGACGACAACGATCCAAGTTCCAAACGACGCACGACTTTATTTGCACGGACCTGTCGAATTAATAACATACGGTACCATCGGTTGCGCCTTGAACGAATCGGTTTCCATAATAATAATCTTTTCCGTCGATTATGAAATCCAACAAACTTTCTAATCAACGTGTTCGGCGAATTCGGCGGGGTCGTGCCAGCAGAAGATGGATTTGCACGAACATCCGTCAAGGGAGGACAAACATTACTCTCCACAAATTTTTGTGGGACATCGGCAGTCAATGTGGATGATGAACAATTGTGCACATGTGCCGAGTTCGAGCGAAAATTATTGAGTAAAATGGATATTTCGACAATCGAAACAGAATCTGCATTTTTTGCAACATTCGTACGAATTTCAAGTGGCTGTTCACTTTGCAAGGCCATAGAGAGATTTCTAGGATAACTAATGTGATCCGTACCAACATTATTATCTCCTCGACTCATTCTGTTGAAAAACATGGGGCTTGTGAAATCATTCGTCGATGGAATTGATTGTCGAAAAGATAGAGACCTATCACTACATTGTTCTTCATTAGAACAATCAATAGTATAATCTTGACTTACCACCGGTTGTTTATCTCTCTTGCGAGCAGTTGGCTCACCTACAGCACCTACCGCCTGTAATAAAGACATCTGGGTTCGACGATTTTAGGAAGGTGGTCGTCCATGTTTGCGGTGTTCGTGTTGTGATGACATTGCCGTCTCACTCGTAGAGCGACAGGGAGTAATATCCGAACCTATACGTAGTCCCAATCCATGGTTGGATGAGGAAGAAGGACCCTCGAACGAAGACAAACCGACTTGACTTGGAACAATGGAAGGTCACGGAGTACATTCTGATATTATCGGCGATGACACCAAAGGATCATTAACAACTCTTTCAAAAGGCCGATGGCGTTTTCGACGCTTTCACGGAACATGCAAGGACCTATCCGCAAGTGAAGAGAAGGTTGGAATGGTGGATAGATTACTATTCGTTGAAGTGTCACATGGGTCTTGGTCCTCTGCCAAATTAATGGGCACGTACGTACGTATTTGTATATGGGCACGTCACGATGGATAGGAGGAGTAAGATGCATATAGACAACCGAAACGAAAAGAATACAGCTCAAAACATCCATATATAGATGTAATTATATGAAGAAGAGTAATATAGTGTCAGTTAGAAAAGAGAAAAAAAAAGAAAAACAAAGAAGACATAGTGCAACACAAAGAACGCAGCAAAACTGCAAAGCACAGACAATAAAAAAAAAAAGGATTCAATTCATTTTTTTTTCTTTTCAACGCGTCTATCGAGGGTAATCAATGTTAATTCACATCTGAATTTATTCGTACAGGTGCACTTTCATGTTCTTGCAAATGTTTGATCGGGACCGGAACTTCTTTGAATTCCTATTGAGGTTAATTAACATGCCTCCTATTTTTTTCATATGCCTCATTCGTTTCTTATGTTCGATTTATGATCCTATACACCCCTTAGTCTTTTCAGGGCCCCATGCAATAGAGTCATACGTACCTCGTCTATCCACATTTGCCCTTTGTCATTCTCCGGCAGGGCTCACTTTCCTGTTCGGATAAATTTGTCACTGGGATCGAAACTTTTTTTGGCTCCAATCCACCATAATCGAGGCGGCTCCTACTTGCAGCCAGCCTTAGATATCTTAAGTCAGTCATCCGTCCACAAAAGATTTGAAAAAGGTAACATGTCTTCGCCGACCTTTCCAAGCCCCGATCGCTAGGAAGTAGTCCGTAGTACCCATTCTCCTCGCCTGAGCACGAGGCCCAGATCTCAGAAGTAGGCGTTGGCTCCACCTCAACAACATTGCATCACCCCCATAAATGGGTCTATGCGGCGTACCGCACCTCCCCCCAGCCAGCTTCGAAGGTCGTGGATCCAGGAAGAGTCATTCCTAGCGATCGAGGTCGGGCAAACCGTTGATAACCTCACCTTTCTTCTCCTCTTTTGCTTGGGTGACTTTGATGAAATAAGAGCAAAGGGGGTAGAGAACAGGACTTTTTGGAACAGGTCTAGGTGAGAGGAGGTCATTCGGGATAGCATGGGTGTCTTGGAAAAAGGGCTACGTTTATTCTCATCTTTATTCCTTCTTATCGGATTGGTTCCTTCTCCAATATTCATTCGAAATACATGGTGTGACCCAACCCTCCATATAACAGTTCATTTGCTTCACATAAGTGCCTAAGTATTTTCAGCGGCCCATATAGACCAATCATATGTACCTTGATTATTCTTGAGCATCCTTTGCTTTCCTTCGATACCATTTACTGGAAGGCGGTCTTTGCTTTCCTTCAATACTGTTTACTGGAAGGCGGCCTAAGCGCTTTAGTATTTTCATCGCCCCACGTAGCACACTCATACGTACCTTGTTTATTCTTAAGTATCATTTGACTTCCTTCGAGACCGTCTGCAGGAAGATGACTCAAACTTATTGTTTCGTTTTCTATTATGATTAAGATTTTTTTGTCATAATTATTCATCAACTTCACAATCTTTCTCCGTATATTTTTTTTCTTTCAATCTTAATATTGATTTTAATCGATCTTTAATATTAACCCATTCGCATACTTTAAAGGATACTCACCTGGTTTTTTTTTCAGGAATAAGTAGAACAGTATAAGAGCGAACACAGAGAACAGAACAATGTTGAAAAAAAAAAATTAAAAAAATATCAGTCTCTAAAGAATAATATAATAATGTTTATAACAATGAACACATACAACATGAGATAACATATGAACAAATGACTAAAGCAACCTTTACTTTTATTCATCAACAATATTTTCTTGCAATTGCAAAAATAGTTGTCAAAGAGGGAATGTCGAAACAAATAGAAGAGAGAGAGAGAGAGAGAGAGAGAGAGAGAGAGAGAGAGAGGAAAAAAAGAAACAAAAAAAGACAGAGAGACAGAGAGAGAAAGAGAGAGAGAAAGA